TATCGCGCTCTTGCAATGAGTCCCCTCGAGCACGTTGACGTAGTTCTACGCAACCCACAGGTTTGGCGTCAAGCTAAAGCTGCACTTAGTTTTTCCGGAGTGAGAATACTTTCCAAAAGAAACCAATCGCACTTCGCAACTAAAGCTCGGTCGGATACTCTCAGAACTCTCCTCGTAATTGCAGCAAGAGAGAGGATGTTGCACCCAGTACTTCGATGTGAGTACTGCATTCCTCTAACAGAAACAGGGATGAGCATTACTCGTGATCACAAAGAAGAGCAAACAACACTGGAATCCCGCATTGGTTTTCTGAAGAGAAAATCGAAGTTGAAGCGATAAAAGCTGACAAAGCATCAGCAAGACAACATTATTTAGACATACGGACGAAGCCTGGAGAGAAATATCGATTCAAGAAACACCGACAAGCGATCGGAATCGAAGCGCAACGCAACGTGTCAATCAGAAAAAGCATGTATCTGCTATTGCAGGAGATCCTTTCCCAAGCGTACTTCGACCACGAAGGCAGAGACAATTAATGTAGCGGCAATCGAATGGGTCGAGTCACCAGGCTTAGCAGATGATTTCAAGATTTATTCCACAGGCCACTGCTCGGAATCCGAATCAGAATTTGAGTGGTCAGCGTACGGAAGAGATGTGTCTTCAAGCGAGAGTATGAGTTACCGCAGGACGGGACATTCGAACAGACAGACGACGTCAAACGTCGCAGAAGGATCGCCAGAACAACACCGAAACAGGCTTCCCAGTAAGATAAGTCCGGAATATTCATGATTATAGGTAGGTCAATTGTCGGACTTACCACTTGGAGGGTGAAGAAGCCCAGAACCAAGTATCGCCTCACCGTTCAAAATCCTGTGCATTCATTAAATACTACCCGTCTGTATTTTCCGTCAACAAACACGTGATTGATTTCGGTCACTCATATTGGTGTACTACGTTGGATCACTCAAAGAAGAAGCGCGACCCCACTGAATGGTCACGAGGACGGGCCGCGGCAGAAGTTCTGCTATCCGCACGACTTCGGTATGTACCTGCATTCCTACCTTAGTCAGAGGGGGCTATTCATTGGAAAGTGCCCGTCTGTCAGAGGTTGCCCGCATATTGAATATATCCTCCGAAAACTGCCCGTTCATCGGAACTGCTCTCTCATTGGGATATGATTTATAGTATTAAAGGAAGAATTTTCAGTAGACCTGTTTCTCAGTCTGTGGTGGCACTTTTAGATTGTTATGAGCTCTGGATGTCGTCGTTCCTACCCCCGGAGACTGATCTAGTGGATGATCAGAATTCTGATCCGAGAACTCTCAAAGTCCAGCTTATTCGGATACAAATAATTCCATAGTAGGCGAAACGTTTTTCCAGATGTTCGACGCTCTAGTGGGAAGGGGGGGGCGCCTGTTGGAAGGTGTGCGCAGCACCACTACGAATCTTCCCGCCGCACTTCGCCATAACACCATCGCCATCTGGGGAAGATGACGAAGAGAAGAGATTTACACTGCTGCACCGCTTGTTCACGGTGGTTCACATTCCAACAGGTTATGGGTCCAGGCCACCATGTGTGAAAGAGTCGAAACATTGAGGATAGAATGTTGACGAAGGCTGTGCGAGTGCCTATGCGAAATCAATAGAAGTGAACCGAGTGACAAAAAAAAAAAATTCCTAAACCGCGGCGTGGTGACGGAAAGGAGCCCGGCGGGGGAATGGTCAACGAGGACTCAGAATCGCGTCTGTCTTCGCGTCTGGATGAGTACATCTTCCAACAAGTGACTATTGAGGAAAACACCGCGACAGGCGAAACGGGAGAGAGACAAAGGTCGAGGAAGACCTGTGTTGGGTTGATATGTGTTCAAAAAGATCTACTGGAGTGTAGAACTGTGATTGTACGAATCCCGAGAATGAACATGGCGTGAATGCACGACTAGCTGGAAAGCGATCGACACGATATTCAAGAGAGCGTGTCGATGATGGTTGCTGCTGGACTCGATGAGAGCTAAAGACAGATCTCGTATCGAGAAAGCTCTGAATGTTGTCTTCGATGAGCACACCAGGGTTTCGTCAATCATTTGGCAAGAATCTGAAGGAGGACCGAGGCTTAAGGTAGCGGGTCCGGTGGACAGCTTGAGAGGACCGATGCTTGATGTAGCGGGTCCGGGTGAGACCAATGCCATGGGTGCGGGTCAGGATGAGAGGCCGATGCCATGTGTGGCAGGTCAGGATGAGGGGCCGATGCCATGTGTGGCAGGTCAGGATGAGGGGCCGATGCCATGTGTGGCAGGTCAGGATGAGGGGCCGATGCCATGTGTGGCAGGTCAGGATGAGGGGCCGATGCCATGTGTGGCAGGTCAGGACGACGGAAGACCAATGCCTAATGTGGCGGGTCGGGACGGAGGAGGACCAATGCTCGGTATGGCGGGTAAGGACGTCGAGGGACCAATGCCATTTGTGGCGGGTCAAGATGAGTCAACTGAACTAAGACCATACGTTGGCTGGTCGTGATGAGATGGTCGGTCGAGATGATGAACCCGTGCCATGTGTGGCAGGTTCAGATCAGCTGAAGGGTCGAAATGGGAGACCAATGCCATTTGAGGCATGTTGGAATGGAGTATCGAGCGATGGCTGAGGCACGGCTCAATTGCCCGCCAGCCTCTTTCGGAACGCCGACGGAAACGCTGGAAGCGTCGTTGAGAGCGCTGGGAGCGCAGATGGAAACGCTGGGAGCGTTGAGGACGCTAAGAGCGTAGATGAGGATGCTGGGAGCGTTAGAGGCGCTCGGAGCGCGGACAAAGGCTGCTCGGGAAGCGTCGGGAATTCGAGAAAACTGGATGGGGGCTCGGGGAGCTGGAAATATCCGACCGTGCCGGGGTCAGGACAGAGATCAAAGTCAGCGGAACACCGAGCTGTCACTACCCGTCGATTATATATACAAGACCAAAACTGGATCGCGGAGTGCTGCGGAATGCCAGAGAACTTCGCGAGCGATGGGAGTACTTCAGATAAGTAGAACCTAAGTTGAATTTTCTTCGAGGGTGCCTCGTCCACCTTGAATGGGAGCTCAGGTTTTGAAGCAAGGGGGAGCCTTCGAGATCGCGCTCCACTTCGAAGGATCTTCGTGGTTCTGCGCAAGGGGGAGTGTTGGAAGGTGTGCGCAGCACCACTACGAATCTTCCCGCCGCACTTCGCCATAACACTATTCCATCTGGGGAAGATAACGAAGAGAAGAGATTTACACTGCTGCACCGCTTGTTCACGGTGGTTCACATTCCAGCAGCGCCATCCAGAGTGCACGCCTGTTCACAGTTGACCCGAGTAGTTGACGGACTCTCCTTAGTCAGAACATGAGACAGCTCGCAGGCCCGGTGATCAGAGCGTCTCACGGAACCTCAGAGTACGGATATGGCAGAAGATGCCACAGAGCGCCGGTTCACTGCATGCAATTGAATCGTCTTGTGGATGGGTGCCGCCTTTCCGCATGAGTATCTTGTGGGAGACAGTGCTATTTATCGACTATTCTGCAACTCGGCCACAGAGGTGTGCTTTGTCGCCCTCCTATCTTCATGGCGGATGAGAGCCTTATCTGCGAATTTCAGACGAATGCGCAGCACCCAATCTACACAATAACGCTTAGGGGGACGGTTCCCCTCGCGGGACTTCGCCGAGAGCAAGATTCTCGATTATACGCAGCCCCGTTCTGTCGCGTCCGCTGTGATTTATGGGATTATTCCGTACGTATGATTCACCCACCGGCCGTGTAAGTCTTGCGGGTCAGAAGAAACTTTTCTTCAGCGAGGACCCGAATGGCGCACCTTCTTCCCTGCGTTTCTGGGTAAGATGACGCCTATGCTACGAGCTCGAGAACAGAAAGTATCAGGATTTTGTTGAGGGAATTAGACGTGGGATTCCGAGCGCCCGACTCTGTGAAGTTATGAGGACAGCTCCTTTAGCGTTTCCATAAGAATCGAGAGCTACGAAATCGAATGTAATGCTTTCCAAAATGATTCCACAAGGAGAATATGTCTTTAGGATGTAGTGTATCCGGTAGATGATGCCCATCTGTTTTCATTTTTCCTGCTCCATGGTGGCAATGGGAGAGTCCGACTCTGCGTTTATGTATGTATCTTCTCCAATTCCAATCGGAGTTTCTCCGTTTCCGTCGCAAACGACTGCGACAAAAAGAACGTAGAGACTCACGCGCGGACTGCGCGCATTCTTCAAGGGATTCAGCGACAAGTACGAGAAATCTAAGAAGTGGTTGTCCGTGATCTGTGTTTTCTGTCGACAACTTTCGACGAACTCGCTCGTAGCTTCGAGAGCATCGCATCCGGCGTACGGGCAATTCAGCCGTGAGGGCGCGAGGCGCCCCCATGGCTAGTCTGAGATAACAGAGGTTCATCCGTCCTCATCCCGATAATCGAGCGACCCGCCCCGCGCGACGGCACCGAGGAGATTTCCGATTCCTCCAAGCTTCTATGGCACTGAATATCGAGCGACGGGCCGTGGCGTCGAAATTTCAAGATCATGTCCCTTCTATATAAGACTGATACCATTCGCGTCAGCTATCGTAGGACGTATGTGAAGAATCGTCACCGGAACTTTTCAGCAAAGTGTCGATTTTGGTGAAAAATTTTGTTTCTCTGCCTTTACAGCGTCTTTCCAGAATGAGGCGAGCTCAGCTGTCCGTCTCGACCGAAAGTCGCGCGGACGGCTGCTTACATGAAGATGCGATAAGTGAGACGAAGGTTCTGGCCACCGACCCAATCCGCTTCGCCCGTGCCGTACTGCTCGAGACCGCCGCGCTGTGAGCTCGAGAGAGATAGTTTCCGACTTTTCGGTTTTCAGCTCGATTCAGTGTGTCAGATATGTAGGAGTGACTTTCCTCGAGAGGATGACGGTGAGCCACAGAACACTTGCATGGAGGTCGGAAGGAGAGGGACGAATACCTTTCCACATTCGAAGGCCGATGCTTTTTCACTCGCGACAGCTCCGCTCGGAATAATCACGACAAAAGCAGAGGAGAAACCAGCAGAACAAAATGTTCCATCTTCTCCCCATAATTGTGCTTGTTTTGCTTCTCATCTACATCTTGAAGTGAGTTATTGGACGACTCTATATAGTTATTGCAATTCCATTGAATTTTGTCGGAAGTCCAGAATTGTTCGTCGAAAAATCCGGAACCGCGATCCCTCCCACGACCGGAGTTCTGGAAACTGATTTCAGGAAGCGACACGATGGGATGCAATTCTTCAAACGGTTCAATATACCGGGACCAAAGCCTTCGATACTTTCGGGCAACTTATGGGAAATCTACAAGAGAGGTCACATGGTCATGCAAAGAGAATGGCACGCCGAGTTCGGTCCAATCGTTGGATATTTTTTTGGACCGCTTCCCATCCTGCTGATCTCGGACCAGGAGCTTCTAAAAACGATTCTTCTGAGAGACTTCCACGACTTCGCGGATCGTCCAGTGAGTCTAGAACGACTCTCCGTCCTTTTAAGAAGCACCTGACCGACAGGGGCGGAGCCTGTCAGATTGGACTCACCTGCATTTATGGTGAAGCTTGTTCGTTTACGCATGAGTCAATCGAATGTTTTTCAGGACTTGATGGGGCCACCGAAAGGGACCGGCTTCGATGAATCATTGATATTGCTTCGGGGCCAGCGATGGAAAGACGTTCGATCGACTCTAACACCATCCTTCACCTCGAAAAAATTGAAGCAGGTCAGATTTGAAACGAGAATGAGTTATTGGTTGTTCGGAATCCGTCCTTGATTTTCGAGATGTCAACACGGAGATATCCTTCCCTGATAATCCCATCGGAGTCAGGTCACACTGATCTTCCAGATCGCGCCCGAGATGTGCACGAGCGTCGATTTGTTCATGGAAAATGTCGGGAGCTGTTTCATAGAAGGAAAAGAATGTGACATCTACGAGCTGCTGCAAGCCTTGACCTTGGACACGATCTGCCGAGTAGGAATGGGTGTTGATTTCGGAGTCCAGAAAGATGTGGCGAATTCTAAACTCTTGAAGCAAGTCAAGATAATGACCTCTTTCCCTTTGACCTTCATGGCTCTGATACTATGTAAGCATGAATGGGTTTGTTTTCTTAGACCACGTGGAGACGTCGAGCATGGAACTTGAGATTTTCCGACGCCTCGGAGCAACCCTCACCGATCTGTATTTTTCCAGATTCACTGGTCGACGTGGCCGCTATCTTGCTCTCCATCTTTCTCCGCTTGAAGAACAGCCGCGAAAACTCGGGGAGCGACCCGATTACCGCTCTGAAGAAGCAGTGCTCGACGATAGTGAAACAGCGGCGAGAGAAACCAGAGGTGACTCAGCGAGCGGTAGCGGAATCCAGCCCAAATGGATTTTTTTCTTCTCAGTAGGAGATGTCGGAAATATGTGAATTAGGGAAATCTCAGCCGTATATCTCCATTCCAGCTCAGGAGGAACGATCTGCTTCAGCTTATGATTGACGCGCAAATGAGGGAGGCCCCAACGAACATCGATGCGCTAATAGCTGGTGATGAAGCCGATGAAAATCGAGAGGGAGAAAATACGACAGCCGTTCCAGGGAAAATCTCGGCCTGTCCCTTCTCCGGCGAGGGATCGAGAGGTCTCACGGATGGTGAAGTCATCGATAACGCTTTCCTCGTCCTTCTCGCGGGGTGAATATCTCCGAAATTCGGCTCCAGGCGAATAATAATCATAATTGATCCAATAATGATATCTACAAACAGTTGTATTTTTCCACGTCGATTCAAAATCAGAAGGATGCCATGAGCGCTGTTTTCTCCAGGTACGAAACGACATCTTCAGCACTCGCCTTCATCACGAAGTTGCTCCTGCGGTTCCCCGAAGTGCAGGAAAGAGTTCGGTGCGAACTTCTCGAAGCCACGGCGCAAGGGAAGGAGTTCGATTTCGATCGACTGCAGCGCTGCCAATACTTAGAAGCGGTCGTCCAGGAGAGTCTGCGACTGTATCCCCCGGTTTACTTGTGGGCATCCTCAGTCGAGAAGAATCCCGAGTCTCACTATTTTCTCAATCATCTCATTAATGACTCCGTTATTGATTTTCAGTTTCACGATGAGAGCTTGCGCAGTTCAGAAGGTGTACGGGTCGATAACAATTCCGAAAGACGCCAGAATCGCAGTTTCTGTCCGCGAACTGCACTACGATCCGGATGTCTTCGAGGATCCCCACGATTTCAAGCCCGAGAGATTCCTCCCAGAGAACAAAACGTCGGCCATGTCGTGGGCATGGCAACCCTTCGGTGCCGGACCTAGGAATTGCATAGGGATGCGATTCGCCCAAATGGAGATCAAAATAACGTTGGCTAAACTCCTCAGTCAATACAGATTATCCTCAGATCGAGAACCATATCATGATCCGAACATCGCGACCAATGTTCTGCCGAATCTTCAGCGAGTCAAGGATCCCCTCTCCTGCAAGCTGGAGAAACTCTGATCAGATTCAGTCAAACCACCGGGAATCCGAGCCGATCGATTCTCACCTTTTGCCTCCAATATCGAGAGCTCAATTAAGATAATATCTCGCAGTAGCTTTCGCAATCAAGAATCACTAAGTCCGCTTCGGGGCTCCCAATGACATCGCGCTATTCCGGGGAGCTTGTGCTGTCGACAATCACTCTATACGCCCTGTATCTCCGAATGACATCGCTCTTTTCCCAAGGAGCTCTAGTGAATGAGTATCGAATTTCGAGGGCGAATTCTTCGGTGTTGAGATTCACGTGGATGCGGCGATATCTTCCCCATTGTCAAACAGCATTGGACAGAATCGGCCATAAATTGTGTTGCCGTTCGATTGGGTCATTGTTGTCGATTCGAGAGAGCCTTCCCTCGTCTCGCTTCATTACTTTCTCTCTCCGGTGGGTAGACCTGCGCAGAGTAGATTGATGATTCCCTTGGCTATGTCTTCGATGCGCACGAGAACAGCAAGCAGAACCAAGCACGGATTCGAACCGGCCCGAATTCCCGGAGATTGATCTACCGCGCAGACAGGAGGAAGATTCAATTCTCGATGAGGCTCAACACGGAGGAGCTCATTGGGAGCGGGGAGCTCCTGCTCCTACTCACTCTGGAGATGCTATGCTGCAAGTTCGTCAATAACTGACAGCATGGGATCCATTGTTACCGATAAGGTGGTACGAAACCGGCTAAGCTCAGGGAATACCCGATGTCTAACCATGCGCGAGATTTGTCATAACTAGAGTGCGTCACTCCATGTATTTCGCATATGTTGCATGAAAATGCATATTTCGAGGGCTTTTCGAGCAAGATGCATTTTTCGAGGTTTTTCCCAACAACTGGCATATATCGGGGGATTTCCGACCGAAATGAATGAACGAAGAGTATATTGCTGAGATGGCCCTAAAATTTTCAGCAATCGGAAGCAAAACTACGAATATCTGCTATTCTCGATCGTCAGCTTAGTGTTTTGAGCGTCGGAAATATAATTTTCGCTCAGATTTGCCCAAAGGAAAGCTCCTGTGCAATGGAGGGGGGAGCGGCGAAGTCTCCGATTGATGTAGAACATCAAAAAATCAAGAGGCTCGTGAGCAGTATTATCGACCACCTGTTCGAAGTGCAGCTCTCTTTTGAGACCGCGGCTGGTAGCGACGGAACCGTCAAGCAAGTTCGTTTGACTGTTACCGGGGAGTCGGGTTGCATGCAGATGCAGACCGGTATTGATCGACACGAGACCCAGGTGACTGCAGAGAATCGAAGATGCCGAAGTCGTACTCTTCACGCCTGAGTACGTGATATCTTTCGGGAGAGACGTGCTCTCCTCGTCCGGGACGGTTCTACTCTGCAAAATATGCGAGTCTCATCCAGATAAGGCCCTTCCTAGAAGCGCCTGGGAAGCAAAGTAGATTCCACGTTCCTTCCGATCTGCTGGAACTCCGCATCGCAAGTTAGACAGCGAGACGTTCAGTGGTTTCCTCGAGAAGTACTGTGGGCAGCAGGATCCATCGTCCGTGACATTGCGCTTGCACTACCTGAAGAATGAATATGAGGAGAAGCTCGAATTCATTCGGCGCTGTGTTTCCAATAAACCTATTTGGGTTTCTATAGAAGACGGTATCTAGTTCTTCTTCGGATGGCTGTGTCCAGATCTTGAGTCCCCACATCCGCAAATTATCTCGTGTCTATTGTGTCATTGGTCTATATTCGGCGAACTTCCCCCACTCTGGCAGCTCACTCGCCGAACTCGAGGGGATCATCCCGAGTTGTGGTGACGTTCCGTGCATCCTGACCGGTGACTCCGAAATTGATCTGCTCTCCGCTCCCCGCAGCGGCGACTACTCGCGACTTCTCGGCTCCCATGGCTTCCGACAGCTGGTCAATGCGGTTACCTGACCTATCTCTGGCACTTGTCTTTATCACATAGCGGTCAGGGGCTGTGAACGATTCCTACAGGTCGCTCCATTCGAGTGGCGGACGCCGATTTTTTCCGATCATTTTCCGGTGCTACTCAGACTGTCCGGCCTTCCCGAACGCCGACTTGCTACTCCACTGGCCCACGGGCCACGCCTCGTCAGGCACCATAGCGCTCACAACTCACAACATGCGCTCGTTCTCTGAAGTCACCCAGTACCTCAGATGGGATTCTCGAGTGCTCCGATGTTGATGCGGCCTCCGGGAGATTTCGCGACATCTCCTCGCGAAATACGACGGCGCGCACGCGCCAACGTCGTTAAATTGTTTCGTTGGTACGAGAGATCTCCATCCGCAGACAGCAAAACCGCTTACTATCGAAGTCTAAGCAGATTCTACCTGGCAATCCGAATGTCACGTAATGAGTTCTTCCGCTCCAGATTCTCCAAGCTTAGGAATTTTCTCGCGGAGCCATGGCGTCGTCCCTCACTATTGACGGCAATTCTGTCGTCAACCAAAACAGAATCGCAAACATCCGGATCCTGCATTTTGCTACGGTGGGAACGAGGTCAGTCGCTTCTCTGTAACCAACTCCCGACATTCCGGCTCCTATTGATCACCTGTGGAAACCCCCGTCTATCGACTGATTTTCCATCAGTCACGTCGATCCCCCTGAAATTAGGGGTATTCTTGGATCCAGAGGCGAGCTGGGCGCCTAGCGCCAGCGGCATTCCTGATGCTGTTCTGGTATCTGTCGCAGCTTAGGTCGCTACTGCGTCGCCGCGATGTTCAACCTCTCCGTCGTCTCCGGCAGCTTTCCCGAGACCATCAAGGACTCTGGGGTCATTTGCTCTTCAAACGCAGAGGCAAACGGTATTCGGCTAACCATTTCGCTGGTGGGCATGATCTCCAAGGTTTTCGAAAAAGTTTTGAAATCGTGGCTCGAGACTTATCTCAAGGGAGCTGGGTTTTTCGTCCCTAATCAGTTCGGTTTCCGAAGAGCCACGTCGCTCTCGATCAGGGTGATCTCCCGCTAGGAATTTTCTTGACGTTGCGGCTGCTTTCGACTGTATGAATCGCGCAACATTTCTACTTATGCTCGGACACTCGGATTGCAGCTCGGTTACGTAGGATTGGTTCTCGTCCTATGTGTCTGGACGCCGCCATTCGCTGCGAGTGGGTGATGTTCAATCCTCCTGGGAGACTGTCGAGCTTGGCGCCCCGCAGGGATCCGTTTTCGGGCCTGTCATGTTTATTGTCTATGTGTGAACTACATCCTCCGAGCCTCTCTCAGTTTTGTCGACGCCCATATTGTTCTTATGGGATGACACTACGCGGTTACACTACGCTCAGCTCTCGTTTCCGGTCCGATCAGGTCGAAAATGATCTGGGAGGGGCTCTCGCCTAGATTGACGATGTGATCAGGCCTTTCGGATACTTTGGCCTCAAGCTTATTGCCGGCAAAACGTCTGGTGTACTCTTCCACTCGTCTCGTCGCTCCATTGACGTCCCCCAATTGTATCTCTGTGATCAGCCTATAGGGTTGTCCCAAGTGCCTGACGCCTGGGAATCACCCTGAATGCAGACTCAAATGGGGAAAACACGTCGACGAACTCACGCCGAAATGTTACGCAGTCATTGCTGCTCTGCGACGTCTCCGCGTCTTCGGCACACCTCTAGAGGGTCTTCTAATGGTCTACCGTTCTTTCTTCCGTCCGTCCTCTGCTACGGGATATCAGTGTTGGGAGCTGGTTATAAAGGCACTGTTCAGTCCGCTCAGATCATTCAGAATGACGCTCTGAGGGCAGTCCTCGGTAGGAGACGGTCCGAGTCGGTCTCTGACCTGTACGCGGTTCATGACCTCCTTACCGTCGAGATGCTCTCCCTTCTCTCGATAGCTTCGCTGGCGCATGGGTGCGCATTCGGCAGAGTCTCGCGGGACACTCGATTTCCGCTTGAGGCAAGGATCCCGCTCCGCCCGTCCCGACGTCCCACTACGTTCGATGTACCCGCGACCAGAACTGCTCTCGACAGCCATGCTCTGTTTTCGCGCCTCCCAGGTGTCTGGCAGTCTCTCCCCCAAGAGCTTCGCATCCTCAGTTCGGCCAGAGAGTTCATCGGAATATCAAGGCCCATTTCCTAGAATGCGCCCGTAGTAGAGCATTGTTGTGACCCATTAATTATGTGTTAAGAATTATTTCATCGAGATCTTGAGCCGCCGTGCTCGCAGTTCCGAAATAAACATATAAACAAACTAAAAAAAAGCACTGATGCCACCGGGAGATGCGTGGCTCACACAGTAATCGACACTCTCGCAGCGGCGGAAAACAGAAGCTTCCTACAGCACGCGGAGGATTTGCGACGGAAAAACTGCTCTACCGTTGCTCAGGCCTTTATGAATGCCCTGAGCATCTGTGGCCCACGAAAAGGTGCTTATTCTTGTGACAGACGCTGCGCCCTACAAGAGAAAGGCTGGCAAAGCACTGAAGATCATTTTTTCCACGTATGATACACGTGACTTACTTTGCATTCGCGCTCCACCGGATTTCCGAGGTATTCAGAGTCTTATTCCTGATGCAGACAAGTTGATGGCGAATGGAATTTTTTCCCGAATATACCAGGAACCGAGCCGTACGCGGAGGGCCGCTCTGCAGCCTAACGAAAGAACGGCTAATGTAACCTGCTTTTCCGGTTTCGGTGACTCCATACTCGATGGCTCGTACTTGAACCACCTCGGCTCGGCTTGGTCTGGGTTGCATGTCAGTAATTCACCCGCATGAGCGAGGCCAACTTCAACCTGTAATATGCACAGCAATGAATCCACAGTAGAACTTCCCTATGGGGGACTTGAAGGGACCTGCCAAAACCTTCTTTATATCCGAACTCCGAACTATCCGAAGATTGGCTCTTACGATTAGACGGAATGGAACGTGAAAATCAGCCCTTGCACCGCTGTGGGCTTTTCTACGACGCCAGCGGGCATGGGGCGAGAAACCTAGCGAATCGTCGAATAGACTATCGCTCCCGAATCGCCTACCCACAAGGATGGGTCCGACCTCCGTCACCTGTTCGATTAGCATGGGAAGAGATAGATTCTTGAAATTCTATACATCTCAGATGCGATGTGAACCATCGGGAACGGGATGCTCCCGCAATGAGCGTGGGTTTCCACGGCCGAACAAGCGAGCACGGATTATTATCAGTATCAGCCTTTTCATTGAGACCAGAATAGATAGAGGGCGAGGAGGACCTAACAGACACGATTCACGCAATGAAG